ACAAAGGAAGGCTATAGGTAGGAGAATAAATCGTGGTAAGTTTACCTCCGAGATTATTATAAGGTATTGGCCAGTCGGGTTAAGACCGAGATAAGAAAAGCAAAGAGGAATAATGAACTGAAGGTTGCAAGGGAGGCGAAGTCAAACCCCAAGGGATTCTACCAAATGTATCAAACTAAAACACGGGAGAAGATTGGACCAATACAGTCAGATACCGGCGAGCTAACTGATGATGACAGGGAAATGAGCAATAATCTATTGTATATAGATATTTTTCAACAGCCTTCACCACCGAAAATTTAAACATGATACCCTAGGCACCGACTATATACAGAGATAGTGAGGAAAATTAATGAAGCCTAATAAGTCACCTGGTCCCGATGAGATATTTACCAGAGTATTAAAGGAATGTAAGGAAGAGCTTAGTATGCCCTTAGCAAATTTGTTTAACATGTCCTTAAAAACGGGTGTAGTACCAGAATCCTGGAGGATAGCGAATGTAATACCGATTTTCAAGAAAGGAGATAGATCACTATCCTCTAACTACCGTCCAATCAGTTTAACATCAATTGTAGGCAAATTACTGGAAGCAATAATTTCAAACTCATTCGAAATCACCTTGAGAAGCACAAGTTGATCAATGATTCCCAACATGGCTTCACAAGCGGACGTTCATGTCTAAATAATCTATTAACATTCTTTTCAGCTGTTTTCGAATCGGTGGACGACGGTTATGACTGATGTGGTATATCTTGACTTTAGCAAAGCCTTCGACAGTCCCCCAGGAAAGACTAATAAGAAAAGTGAAGGCTCATGGCATTGGAGGAGATATTATAAATTGGATTAGGGCGTGGTTATAGGACAGGAAACAGCAAATGAGCATTAATGGCACTAAATCCGATTGGAGAGACGTCACTAGTGGAGTACCCCAAGGCTCAGTACTTGGACCATTATTTTATATATACAGTGAACCCTCACTTTACGCGGTTAATTCAACCCACAGGGTACCGCGGAAAGTGAGAAACGCGTAAAGTGAACAACATAACATATGGCATTAAATGAAATAGAGACCGGCTGACCCCCAAACTCCACTTTTTCCGGCACAATACCTATGTTCTAGTAAAAATTACATCTTAATTTTATGATGGTACATGCACGCAATTAATACTTAAGAGAAATAGAGAAATACAGTCGCCAAGTTAATGTCCATTCAAATAATGGACTCAACTCCCTCCCCCTCTTCTCACACTCTCTGGCTCTTCCCTCTCTGAGAAATGTTTGGGGGGAAAACCACTAGATTTTTAGGTATAGTAATAAATAATACCTCAAACTAAAGTTAGGATAATATAATTGACATTGCTGGATTCCTTGTAAGACCAGGAATATTTTGAATATAAATGTCATATATTTTGCACAAAAGATAACATATTTACTCAGAGTAAACAAAATACTTACATTAGATCTAAAATTTGTATGTCTAATGCAAAATCTATGATGTTTATATTCAAAATGATCATCAAATTGTAAGAATTCCAGCAATGTAAATTATATTCTGGCCGGGTAATTTGTATGAATTTTATGAGCTAAAACAAATATCTTCAGTTAATAAAAAAAAAAATATTCTTCACACCGTGCCAGATGGTCGGTCGGTCCCTCCCTCCCTACCAGATAAATGTGTGGGAAAACCAGAATATTTACCTTTTTAGTAATAAATAATACCTCAGACTAAAGTTAGGATAATATAATTGACATTGCTGGATTCCTTGTAAGACCAGGAATATTTTGAATATAAATGTCATATATTTTGCACAAAAGATAACATATTTACTCAGAGTAAACATTAGATCTAAAATTTGTATGTCTAATGCAAAATCTATGATGTTTATATTCAAAATGATCATCAAATTGTAAGAATTCCAGCAATGTAAATTATATTCTGGCCGGGTAATTTGTATGAATTTTATGAGCTAAAACATATATCTTCATTAAATAAACAAAGAAATATTTGAAAATGCGCTCCGAAATCCATGCCGGAAAACTGAAGGTTCCGGTTTATCGGTTGCCGGATTTTTGATTGTAATATACTATATATATATATATATATATATATATATATATATATATATATATATATATATATATATATATATATATATATATATATATATATATATATATATATATATATATATATATATATATATATATATATATATATATATATATATATATATATATATATATATATATATATATATATATATATATATATATATATATATATATATATATATATATATATATATATATATATATATATACACGACATAGATATTGGCGTAGACAGCAACATATGTAAATTTGCTGATGACACTAGAATAGGACGAGTAATTTAATCTGACGAGGACTCCGCAAAACTACAGGAAGATCTAAAAAAATTTTTCGAATGGTCTGAAAAATGGCAAATGAAATTCAATGTGGACAAATGTAAAGTTCTTAGTCTCGGCGATCTGTGAGATAGACTTAGGAGAAATGATAAGTAGGAATCTTAATCCAAGTAAACAATGTGTATTTGCTTGAAACAAGGCTAATAAAGTACGTACTTGGGTTCATACAAAGCTGTTAGTTACAAGACTAGCGAGGTCATCCTAAAACTATATCTTGCACTTGTGAGACCTTACTTGGATTACGCAGTTCAATTCTGGTCACCTATTACAGAATGGATAGAGAATCCCTAGAAAGAATTCAGAGGAGAATGATAAGACAATCCCGGGCATTAGGAACCTTGAGTACAGAGACTGGTTAAAGAATCTTAATTTGCACTCCCTCGAGAGACGTAGAGTGAGGGGCGATATGATAGAGGTGTATAAATGGAAGTAAGGGCTAAACAAAGGTGACATTCCAAAGGTACTCAAACTCTCCACTTAGGAGCAAACTCGTAACAATGGTTTTAAATTAGTCAAATTTAGATTTAGACTCGAAATAGGTAAACTCTGATTTGGAAATAGAGTAGTGGATGAGTGGAACAAGTTACCAAATATCATCATTAACTTGAATATGCTGGATAGCTTCAAACATAGGTTGGATGCTTATATGAGCAATAGGGGTTGGGTGTAAACGGGACTGCCCAGTATGGGCCAATAGGCCCACTGCAGTTTCCTCCTTTCTTATGTTCTTATGTTTTTCTTTTGTGACCGGTGTTCTGCGTCAGTGTGAAGCCATTTAACATGTTTTGGACAATAACGCTGTTGCTATTTTTGTTTTTAAGGCCCATGGTGTTTTGCTTACATGTACTGTACTCCCCTACCCATTTATTTCCAAAAGTTGTCTGAAAATAAACCATTTATATTTTTTCCCCATTTTGAAATCTATGCATATAGACAAAGTAACACACCAAATATTGCTATATGTTTTTGGTAAATATTTCATAGTTACCATGTATGGAACTCTATATTGATATGTACGTGGGTTGATAGAGCATAAACAAAATGACTACTGTACTGTATAACATTTTTGTCGTAAATTTATATTTTTTATTTATTTATTTATTTATTTATTTTTTTTACTTATTGATTTTGCTCAAGGAAATACAATTTTGGTCATACAAAGTGGGCAGAGGGAGAGGGAAATTATGGGGTAAAAAACATGCCCCCCAAATTATGAAACCAAATACAACAAAACCTTACCACTCAAGTATCAGTACAATATACATATCTATCTAACCTAACCAGAAAAACCTGACCTATTCTCCTATCCGGAGGGGGGTGAGGGGAGGGGAAGAGCCAACAGGACACCCACAGTATGTAAACCTAACCAAACCCAACAAGACGAAAGATAATACTATAAAGGAATCTGAAAAAAAAAACCTGAAATTGAAAAGTAAAAATAATAAATAAAAAAATCAGACAAAAACACGAGTAAGCTCCTGCATACAAATGTCTAGCGTGACATCGAGATTCCTGCTGATTGGTTGCGTGAGAAGTAAAGAATGTGTATCCTGCAAACTTGTACATTATTCTTTGTTTTATTTATTTATTTATGCTGTATCTCCCAAAATATGAATCAATATAAGGTTCTGTGTTCGGTCACTACAAAATTTTAGCGTCAACCAGGGCGAACTTGACCACAAAATGACAAATGTTTTAATAACTTTTTAACCTGCTCACCAGAATTGTTCATACTTACAGGGTATCGTGCCTACATACAGGGCCACAATATGTGAAAGTTACAGCACATTATATAATATTTTTATTTACTGAGCTATACACAGCATTTTGTGGTCCACTACATGCAATATTCCGGGGTGAATGTGGACCAGGCACCAATGTTAATATAGATCATCACATTTATTTGTTAGTTATGCTATTTATAGTACAGCTCCTCCCCGACTTACGACCTACTCGACTTATGACCACCTGCACTTACGACCTGCCTCAGTCGTACCAAAATTTTTTCAAATTACATATTTTTGAGTCCCAACGTCAGTACACAGATAAAATTTTCGTTTGTAATTCACTTTAAAATGGCTGGCAAGCTTAAAAGTGAGAGTTTTGTGGTGCTGAGAAGAAAAAGAGACACCCATTTTAGATTTTCTATGTATTATTTAAGCATTTTTGACTTACGACCAATTCGACTTACGACCTGGATTTGGGTCCCTAACCTGTCGTAAGTCAGGGAGGAGCTGTATATTAAGCTGATACAAGTTCATTATAATCAATATATAGTCTATGTTTACCAAGGCACTTGTATTTCTCTTAACTCTGAGAACTAATTACCAAGACAAGAAATAATGACTGAGCAGAGTTGGTAGCTACAGGGTGCAGCATTTATAACTGACACATTTATTAGTGTTATAAAAAGTTAATGAACAACATAAATGCTATGTATGGTTGGAAAGCAGCAGGATCGAAGATTATTGAACATTATTAAACTATGGCTCTCTTTTGTAGAAAGTTTTATTATTTCATGATGTTTAATCAGAATGTCTTCCATATCTCCAGGTGGTGAGATAGATGCAGCACGTGGCAGGTTTGATGCAGCCCTTCAATGTTTGCTCCAGAAAGATGAAGAATCAGATTCAGAGAATGAGTCTGATAATGAGCTTAAAACTAAAGTATTGTAAGTTATTTTAGTTTTTTCGTTCTTAAGTAACTGTTGGATAAATTATCACCCCCCTTTTGATCTCACCTGTTTATTTTTCTAGTTATTTTAGAACAGTTTTAAGGTTCCCATGCATGTGTCACTCCTATCATCTTCCTCATCCTCATCAATATTTTATGGTCATTTTCCACACTTGCATGGGTTAGTTGTGGTTACCTGATGGCAGCTCTCCATGTTGCATGATCTCTTGCAGTCTCTCTTGTCAGGTTCCTAACTCTAATGTCATTTCTTCCAACCTCTCCCCATGTCATTCTTGTCCCACCCCCGGCTATGCATCCCTCCACATTTAGACTCATGTACCTCTTGACTCAATTATTCTCATCCATTTTCTCCATATGCCCAAACCATCTCAGCCTGCCTCTACACAGGACTTTGCCTATACTCTCAATACCCACTCCCAGCCATCCTCTGAACAAGGCTTCCTGTCTTTCAGTGTCACATTACACATCCACCTCACCATTCTCATTTTAGCTCACTCAAGTCCATGTATGTCATCCTCTTTAACTGCCTGTGTTTCACTGTCATACAACATTACATTTTTCACACCAGCTGCATACATTCTTCCTTTCACCCAGAGGAAAGATCCTCTTGCCATCAATAAAGGCACCAGCTCCCTAAACTTCCTCCAGTAACTTCTGACTCTTACAACTGGGTAGGCTTCAGCACCCTCACCAGCAATGTCACCTAGGTAAAACAACTCAACACAGTCCAGAGACATATTCCCAGTGTCCAGTTTCTCCAGCCTTGCTATGGCCACACGGTTATCTGCATGTACTATACAGAACACTTAAAAATCACTAACATCTTGCAGTCTGCTATCTATTTTAATGCACCTCTTGTGTACCCACCTTTCACACTCTTACACCTTTCTACAGACAGCACGAACCTTTTTTCCTTTTCCATCACGTGCCACAAGTCAGTACTTTTGTTTTTTGTTTTTTCCACAGTCACTCTCAGGCTCTTTTGATTCTATTCCATCTATTTCTTAAATTTCTCCACACCCTTTTCAATACTCTCTGTTTTCAGAACTAATTCACCAGCATACAACAACTCCCAGGGCAAGCCAGTATACAGTCCATGATATTGCCTCCAGCACCATGATAAACAGAAGGGCGTTAAGACAGACTTTTGGTGGACCCCCTAATTTAACCTCCGATTCCTCACTTTCCTCACTCTTTACTCTCACAGAGGTTTTTCAGCCCTCATCTACAGTAATGCCATAACCACCCAAACAAGGTACTTCTTGACTCCCAACTTTCTCTTTACCCACTTTACTACTACTCATGGTACTCTGTCAAAAACCTTCTCTAAGTCTACAAATATTAAGTGCCCCTTTTTCTCCTTCCCAAGATATTTCTCTAGTAGTTGCCTGGCCATAAACATTATCCCTCTAGTCCCCTTATTTGGCATAAACCCAAATTGAATTTCGTTTATGCCAACTCTCTCCCTTATCAGTTTCTCAATCACTGTTACCACAACTTTCATCACCTGATACTATCAACTTCAGGTCTCTGTAGTTCAAGTACTACATCCCCTTTACCTTTGTAAGTATTCTTGATAATTCTTTCAACACTTGTCTGGAACAGTGCATCCATCAAGACGGCATTAGTCAATTCTGTCACCACCGACATGCCTACATCACCTGATGCTTTCAGCATTTCTGCAACTATTTTTGAACTTCCAACTGTCTTTCCTTTCTTTATTTTTGTCAACTACTTTCTCCACCCATTCTCTTTCAATCCTTGGTCATGGCCCCTGTGCTGGGTCTGCTACTCCTATACAGTCGGCCCTTAACATACGCGGGGGTTACGTAACAGAGATACCCGTGGATGTTAAAAATCCGCGTATATGTGCTGGCCTCCCCCCTTCCAAAAAAAAAAAAACATGGTCCCCCCATGTCCTTGTTTACCGTATATACCTGTGTGTAGTTCAAGTTTTTAAGACCAAATTATTTGGCAAAAAATTGGGGGTCGACCTCTAAATGGGTAATAGTTTCGTTAGGTTGAAAAATATTTACCAGTAACTACCAGTAAACAATGGAAACGATGCACCAACGCACCACCAGCTGTGAGTGTCGGTACACTTGCCAGGGCAGATCTCTTGCGTCATCATAACAAGCCCAAAGTAGCCAAATCCATGGTATGGTAGCACAGGACGATGTAAAACAAAGTATTCATTTATTCAAGTTTATTTATAGATACTGTACATAAATTTTTGTTCATTACATTTGAAACATCAATCTTTGTTAATTAAATTTCAAACAAAAGAAAACTACGATACTGTATTTTCATTAAAATATTACATCACAAGTATATTTTACCTTAACTGTGACTGAATGAATATAGGTATTCTCAGAAATAAATATGGAAATTAATATTTTTGCACGGAATAGCGTGCGTATTACAATGGAAAGTAATAGCTTAATGACTTTCTCTTTCTTCGTTCAAAAGATGTTACGTAGCCGGCACCGAATGGTTTTCAGTTAAAAACTGTTATACAATAATATTCTATAAATTCACATATACGATGCAACAGTTTTTTAATAACCATTCACTTGTCTGTATTTTAAATCACAATTCTTTCACTGTATCGTACATCATTTTTCAACAAAAATATTCCATCATTTCTCAAAATAAATGGTAGTTTTGTTCAGGCGTAATGCAATATTTAATATTAAAATGCAAAAATAGCTATAAAAACAAATTTAATACACCCGTAATGTACTTTAGCTGGCATCTCCCCACTAAAAAATCCCTACTCCAGTAAAAGATTATACTCCTCCCCAACTCGCTCCTCTGCTCCCTCCTCCACCTCCTCAAAGTCTCACTACTGCGATAGCGAACACAAATGTTTTGTGTGAATAACTGCACCTCCACTTCCTATGTACAGTACTGAACTGTACTGTTAACAATACATTTTAAACAATAAACATAGCAGAAAAAAGCTATTAAAAAAAGAGATAAAATTCCTTTACTGTACAGTACCTATCCTCTCGCGACAAATGAGGTCATCGGACTCATCAATGCTCAATTTCCCATAACAGGTGGTGAAGAGGTAGAGGCGACTGTGGATTCAGCTGCTTCTCCTCACTGCCGCCAGTGATTGATGGTGTTAAATCTCTCCTTGGTGATCAAAAAGAACATGGTGATAGAGGTTAGCCGTCTCTTCTTCCATTTCTTCCATAATGTTTTTGTATGGGCCGGCAATCCATCCATCTCGCGCGAATTTCGAGCCCTTTTCATAGAGGTCCATACTATAAGGCAGGTTTTTCAGTGCCTCAATATTCCTGGTCATCTCCCCCAACTTCTCCAACGTTATTTCTTGGTGCTCTTTTGCTCATCACCTCTTTCCCTTTTAAGCTTCCCTCTTCCTTGCCAGTCTTACTAACTCCTGTAGATCCTCCTCGATTAAACTCTGATGTCGTGCTCTCAATTAGCTCCCTAATCCTAGAGTCTGTCCCAGGAAGCCTTCAGCAGTCACTTTCTTGACAGTGCCAGGGGTCTTTTCTGAATATTTTCATTAAAATCCATCCAATCATTTTCCTTGTCATCGTCTTAAGCACCCAAAACCTCTGATCGTTTTCAATTAAAACAATGTTACAGCACATGTATATTTTACACAAGCTTTGTGCCTGAATGAATACTATTCTTAGAAATAAATAATAGTTTTTGCTGAAAGCATTGATGTATTTCAATGTAAAAATAGGATAAAATACTTGGCGAAAACAAAGACTTTACCTCACCTTCCAATGTTCAAGAATATTTACTCGCCGTTTTTTAATAGTTTTCTGTTAAAAATACTGTTATATTACAATGATATTATATTCATGCACATGTGATATACTACATTCACGGAAATGTAATATTTTTGCTGAAATAGCGTCACGTATTACAGTGAAGTAGGATAAAATTGTGACTTCAAAACAATGACTTTCGCTTTCTTTCGTTCAAAAAGATGTTACCCGTAATAAACACTGAATGGTTTTCAGTTAAAAAAAACTGTTTATCTGATTTTTGTGAAAATATTAACGATATTTATCTTTAGCGCTTTTAATCTTTAAAATCTTTCACTGCTGTCGTCACGTCATTTCAGCAAAATATTACATTTCCATATTCTCAGAAATAAATAGTAGTTTTGCTGAAACATAATGCATTTCAATGTAAATTAGGATAAACTACATGAAAACAAAAGACTTTACCTAACCTTCTGATGTTCAAGATATGTTACTCGTTTTTCAGTAGTTTTCGGTTAAAATACTCTTATATTAGTGATATTCTTTTCATACTGTGCTTGATATAATACATTCACGGAAATGTAATATTTTTGCAACTACAATGCTGGTGTCAACACAAGCGTGGTTACAGCGAGACTGACTGAGTGAGGGAGAGCTATGTGTGTGTGTGTGTGTGAGGTTGCGGGAGCGGGCGGTGTCCCGTGTGAGGTGCCGCGCGCGAGTTGAATGGCGCGCGATTTGAATGTACTTCAATTACTTCAATGTACAGAATATTCCTCCGGCGGGGCAATCTGCGTATTTGCAAATCCGTGTATTATAAACCCACGTATGTTAAGGGCCGACTGTTCTGCCCTATACTACTCATTCAGTGGTTGATTATAGCATTTTCTCCCGGCATCCTTCATTTCCCCATTATCCCCAACCACATTATCTGGCTATTCTGAATGCCTATCTTCTTGTGTCTACAATACAGTATTAACACTTTGACAGGTCTGGTGAATGGTACTGGCAGCATATGCTAATTGCATCAGGTGCTCTCTGTCAGTTAGGCATCTTTAAATGTTCACACATAATTCTAATTTGTGATGCTATTTACCAGTGTAATGTTCTTATATTGTTTTTTTTACACTTTAATGTTTGTGAATGATCATTCTAAAATTTTATATGCAATGAACACTGAATAGCCATTACTAATCTAGTTTTTAGAGAATAATGTTTATTTTGG